CTCTAATATCCTTGGGCAAAGAGTTCCAGAGCTTGGGGGCATAGCAGGAGAAGGCCCTGTTGTCTATACAATGTAGACGGGCTTGGGGGACAGTAAGGAGGGCAGAATTTGAAGAGCGGAGGTTGCGAGGTGGGTAGGGCGATAAAAGTTCGGACAGGTATTGAGGTGCCAAGTCATGTAAACCTTGGCACCATGATGCGATGGCACCCGAAGTGCACCAGTATAGTCACCACACATCAGCTACAGTATCAGTGGGCAGGAGAACAGAGTGATGAAGCCAATTCATTCATGGGGATTATTAGGACACCATGATTGGGCAGGCCAGTGCCAGGACACCAGGGTAAAACTTCTACTCATTTCGAGAAAAGTCCTGGGATTTTTAATGACCATGGAGAGTTAGGACCGTGGTTTTACGTCTGATCCAAAGGACGACGTCTTTTTACAGTATAATGTCCCCATCACTATACTGGGGCATTAGGACCTACACAAACCACAGTGTGAGCGCCCCCAACTGGTCCCACTAACACCTCTTGCAGCAGCAAACCTTAGCTTTCCCAGGAGGCCTCCCATCCAGGTGCTGGCCAGGCTCACACCTGGTTAGCTTCAGTGGGTTATCAGTTGTGAGTTAGAGGGTGATGTAGCTGCTGGCAAAAAAAAACTTTAATGTAATCTCTACTTCCTAGTAATGCAAAACCAAAACAAAAGTTGTGCTTGGGTCACTAAATGGAAGAACACATACAGCTTTACAATATCCCTGCCCAACACTTTCTAATAAGAACTTGTTTTAATTTAGGTTGAACTTGGTTTTAAAACGGATGCACAGCTGTAAAAGTTGATCAATACACAGTCATTTCAGGAGCCCCACCAACAATTCGGTATCACTGGAGCAATGGGTGAACCCGGGACCTCCTTTTTCCCTACAGCATTTTATACTGCTGTAATTAATTTGAATACCTGTGTACAACTGTGTTCACGCTATATGATCTTTTAGAACCTGGTGAATTCATATTATCCAAGAAGACCTCAAGGCCAAGAACATTGTGATCTGAATGAGATCACAAGTACTTGCATGTACAGTATGTCAAGTTTGATGGGCAGCCACATTCAAGCTCACATAGCCAGCTAGTTAAATCCCATGTCAGCACTCAACAATGGTAACTGATTTCCAAGGCCCTACAGTGAAAACAACAACAAAAACGAACACCTGCTACCTGTCACAGAGGGCTTGGATCAACAAAAAAAAAGTGTGTGAGTCAGCTTAGATTATTCCACAAGACCTTGCTTAACACGTAATCATATCCATTTCAGTGATTAAAAAGGGCACAAAGGAGCATTATGTTATTCACTGGAAAATACATCTAGTGTTGTGCTGGCATTCAAACCCCTCAGGCAAACTAGAAATGGCACAGAAAATGATGCCACTTACTACTTCCTACTACTTCCTATGCTGGAGGTGATTTGTGTTAGAGCGATATATAGTACCTATCAAAAGTATTCACCCCCCTTGCACTTTGTTACATTTTACTGTTTCAATATGGAATCATAATGTATTTAACGGATTGCATGAGTATTCACCCCCTTTGAGTCAATATCTGGTAGGGGCATGTTTGGAAGAAATTACAGCCACGATTCTTCTTGGGTATGTTCTACCAGTTTGGCACATTTGGACACCGCAATTTTTGCCCATTCTTCTTTGGAAAATTGCTCAAACCCACTCCAGTTGGATGGGAAAAGTTGGTTAATGATAAATTTAAAACTCCTGCCACAGATTCCTGATTAGATTGAGGTCTGGCCTGTGACTGGGCCACTCCAGAACACTGACTTATTTCGTTTTGAAACCACTCCGGTGTGACTTTGGCTATAGTTTTGGGTCACTGTCCTACCTGAAGATCTTCTCCCAAGATGCATGTCTGCCAGGATTTCTTTGTACTTAGCTGCATCCATTTTTCCATCTTGACAAGTCTCCCAGGATCTGATGCAGCAAAGCTCCCCCATATCATATCATACCATATCATACTGCCACCACTATGCTCACAGAAGGGATGGTGTTCTCAGAATTAGGTTCACTGTAATGTTTTCATCTATCATAATGCCTACCATTGTGGCCAAAAAAGGTCTTGTCAGACCTTAGAATCTTCTTCAGTCACAGAATCTCTCACATGCCTTCTGGCAAAGTGTAGTCGAGATTTGATGTGAGTTTGTTTTTAATCACTCTCCCAGAAAGCCCAAATTTACAATGCAACCAGGCAATTGTCATACGTAGTTTCTCCCATCTCAGCCATGAAAGACTGTAATTCCATTAGAGTTGTCATAGGCCTCTAGGCAACCTCTCTGACGAGTGCCCTTCTTGTCCAAATACTCAGTTTTTGAGGACTTCTTCACAGTTTGTGGCATATTTTCCACATTTTTTATAACCGATTTTATTGTGCTTTGGGGGATATGTAATACAGTACCTTCGAAATGTTCTTCTGCTCTTCCCTGATTGGTGCTTTTCTATAACCCTATCCTAGATGTATGTTGATTTATATAGATAATATTTATATTTATGTTTTATGTTAAACAATAGCAAAAAACATCCCAAGTGCATTGTACTTTTATACTGTAATACAGTAAAATGTGAAAAAGTCCAAGGGGGATGAAAACTTTTGATAGTCACTGTTTATGTTTGATTAACAGTTTGTAGAAACAAATGATTTTCCATACCCAATTGAAGTGAAACAGTCCACCTCCAGCACAATCAAGTTAAAATCCTTTTGTGGTTTAAAATGTGTTGTGAAGGGATGATTTTCACAAGTGTTAATTCATCTGTATTTTAAACAAGTGTAAATTCGCTTTGAACAGACATTGGTCCATGTTTTATTTGCATAACCACAGCTGTTTAAGTAAGAAATTAAATGGTTCATATTATGAAAAGGGCCTCTGACAATCTACTTAAATTGTCTGCAACACTTGGAATTAAAATTTACATACTAAATTATTGGAAATCTGCTGCAGACAAACATACTGGTATACACTTTCGTTTAAGCAATATTTTCACCAGTTCCTTTAGTTTAATAGGGAGTAATTAATAGATAGCAGCAACATTGTTCAGCATTTAACCTGTACAAACATTTAGATACAATGATGCTCTGAAAACTACCCTTCATAGCTTTAAGTGGAGAATACAAATGCTTTTTCTAATAGCTGGATTTCCAATGGATGTAGATAATATGCAAGGAGAGAACAGCTCAGATGCAGGGGACACTCTTCTTACAGGTTAGTATTGGAGAACACAACATGATTACCATGTGACCCATCTAGTACATTTTGTTGCTGACAGGTAATGGATTATGTTAAGAGTACACAGTTCTACATGAAAGTGTGTTCTTTCCTAGAAGAAACCTCAAAAAGCTTGTTTTAAATATTTTAACAAACTCCAGTTTTAAAAGCAGTTTCTCCTCACAGGCCAACCTAGGATGCAACAAAGAGTACAAAAGAGGCTTTACTGCTTTCTGGAATAATTTAATGTTTAGTAAAAGGAACATTTCATCTGGATTATTTTGCTAAATTTTGATATTCTTCACATTTTACTACTGCAGATGTTTTGCACACATGGAAAAAAAAACTTTTAGCTAGGTCTACGGAATGCCATCAGATTTTAGGCAAGTCAGGTACTGTGTAAGAGGTTTAAAAATGTTCTGAAGGGTCATTGCTTGCAGTTCATAATTACTCACCTAAACCATTTAATAATGTGATTGCATTGGGGGTCTGCAAAGCAATTTGAACATTCACATCTTCAAAACCTACCCACCAAGTTCTCATCCAACGGTGTGCACAACTTATCATTGCTATGCAACCAAGAGGTGTGACCAGCTCCTCCACATTCTTGCAGCAGAGTTTGTGCAGTCCTAGATTATTCTTAAAGCTCTCCACTCACTCTACCCTGGGTGTGAACTGTGCCTCCAGTTAAGGTCACAGGTTAAACCCAAACTGCATGAAGTAAAAGCCATGAACTCTACTCCATAGGAGAGGGGCTCTGAACATCAAGAGAATGCCTTTCCTTGGCAGACCGTGTCAGAAAAATACAGGTTTTCTATCTCACTGTTCAATCATCTTTCAAAACACTTGAAATGTTTTCATTTTAACCACTTAAGCAGGCAATTTAGAAATTACTTGAAATTTAAATACCAGCATGTTACAGGTCCACAGCTGTCCAACTTTTTAAAATTTTGTTTTACCAATTCAGTTGATTTACTTAATTGTTTAAAACCCTTTATAGTCTTTACATACTGATGATTTAAGAGTGACCTTTAAGACCTGCAGGAGAGTAGCTCCCAAAAGCCAAAATATAGTTTTGTGTTTGTACTGTAGATTAAATATTGATTATGAAGGCAGTCATCACAGCTAAAGCCAAATATTTTCAGTGTGCAACCTTAAACTTCAATGCAATTTTTCCCCCCCATCTGCTCCAGCAGTGATGTAACTCCTTCTGTTCCTCTTTGCTTAATTAACTTAAGTTGTAAGATGACTTCTTTCATTCTTTTAATTTTAACTGGCTTCTGGGAAAACTGGCCTGCTGTGAGTGTGTATGGACTGCAATGGACTGGAGTCCCATGCAGAGTGCATCCTGCCTGCACCTGTTGCTTGCTGGGATAAGCTTCAGCTCCCCAGAGACCCTGTGTTAGATAAAGCAACTAGAAAAATTTAGCCAAAAGATCCAATAACCTACACTGGGTCCTCTCCAATTCATTGGCCTTGTCACTGAAACGTCTTCTGGAACAGTTGCCATCACCAAACAGTAGTTCTCCGACTACGGTTAGCAAATCCTTAAAATGTATTTGGGTTTGCAGTCTTGAGAATTAGTGAACTTGGCAATATTAAAAACAAACCACCTTTAAAACAGATGTCATAAGTAAAACGATGTTGGATACACCCCCAGTTACTTACCAGAAAAAGAAATGTCACTTTAGCAAAAGGATATTTTTTTAAACTACAAATGAAAACTAAATCAGTCTGGAATGATGACTACAAAAAAGCATTTGTGCTTCCAAGAAGTTTTCCTCTTCAACTTGCCAGCTGAAAAAAAGCTGTAGCTAAATGTCCTTGTATTTCCCAGACATAATACCTCTGCAACTCTACAACACACTGCAGGAGATTGCCTGCTTATCTTGAATTCAGAAACTCCACACTCTAATACAGGAAATCTTGTTTTCCATCACTGTTTATTCAATGGAAGAATGAATGAGGTACTGCCAGACATGCCAAAGACTTTCACATGTTAAAAGAGCACTTCCTGTAAGCTGGCACTCAGCTTTCCACACCAGGAGCAAATCATTCAGTGAGCAATTTCAGGCTGGTCTATATAAAACAAACAGTGACATTCTTGCTAGGCCCTTACCACCCAAGTCTGCTGTGACACTGGGTAAAGGACATTTGGCTACCATAATATCTCACTCCTATTAGTACAGTTAACACTAGATGAATAGAAATGCTTATATTGTTACAATGCACACCTACTTTGGAGTAACTGATTTGGAAGTTTAATACCAGAAATTTGTTATACCTAACCATAAAGTGGTCTTCCAAGCTTTCCCTTTCGCCGAGATTAGGAGGATGTTCTGATAGAAAAATACTCTAAGTGTCAGTACTTTAGGATGGTTGTATCCTGGTTCTCCTCAGTAAACGGGAACTCACTCACACACAGAGATCGGTACCACACAGCTGCTCTGGGAATGCTGTTTGGTCTGCAGAAGAGATCCAGACATGCTACAGTTTGATTTTTTTTTTTCTTCATCTGCTTAAAAAGGGACAGGATTATCTGGAGCTATGTTTGCAACATTAAGGCCTTCAAGCAGTGTTCAGCAGGTCCTGTATTGCCTTCTGCTGCGTCTCATTCAGTGTTGATACACATTCTGTCCATAGCCCCCCCGAGACCTGAAAACAGAAACAATGTGCATACACATTAGAGATGTGCACATCTGTACACATTATAGAACTGTCAAATGTTTGACTGTTTCTTAATATAAATATTACAAAGAGCACATACATGGCTATTAAAATATGTAAGGCTGTAATGCAATTGAACTAGTAACTACATATCTGTGGCAAAATCAGATGTCTCCAAGCAAAGCATAGATCTGTGGTAGAATCAAACCTGCTCAGTTTTAGAGGCGTTTTTGCAGATGACTATGGTGGCCAATTAGACAAACCTTTAACTTACACATAAAACAAGTTTCAAAACACAAAAGAAACGGAAAACCTTTACAAACCTGTACTTGACGAATAACATTAGCCAGCCGTTTGCTACACCCATCCTCATGTTTAACTGATTCGTTGACAACACCATCTGCTATTATTAAGAATATCCTGGGTAGATTTGAATTGTCCGGTCCAAGCACAATAGGGTTATTACTGTCCAGTGGAGATAAAATTAATATAAAAAAAATTAACTTGAAAGTCAGACATACCAGAATATACTGCTCACTCCTCTCCCAAAGTAAGAAAGTGACACTTCATCTTCATCATTTTTATTTAAGATAAAAGGGTTACACTCCAGACTAAGTGTATTAGATATTCAGTTAATCAATCTACTAAACTTAGATGCTCTGCATAATGTTAATAAAGGAATACGGTCTCTGTAGATTTATTATAAATCTATACAATTTTACTATAATAAAAATACATCTAAATTGTTTAGGACCAAAACTGTTTCAGCACAGACAGCTTTTTTTTACTAAAGAGCCCCTTCTATTTGTTTTTTACCTTCAATATGCCTTGTGAGCTCCCTTTTTGATATTTGGATAATGCATGTTCCTGTAACAGTATAATTTAGTAACTTCATAATTCTACAAAACTTCAACTGACCATGCCCTTACCATTAATATCTATTAATTCCTTATCAATAGATCAATCTGATGGATTGAAGGAAAAAAGCTGCACTAACCTTTCGATAAGGTCACACAGGAAATTGAAGGTGTGGACAGCTTCCTCCTTGTCTTCATTCAAAGGCAGCCAGGACAGCCAGTGAGGCAGGACCTCATTCACATTTACACATTCAGGTCGGTACTTCATTACCTTGCCCACTGCAGAGATGCAGTTCTCTGTGGCATTGACATTCTCTTTGACTCTGGAGTCTGCAGCCTGGATCACTCCTACCAGAAGAGGAATGGCCTCTGTGAAGGGAAAAAAAAAAGAACCGTCTGAGCCAAATTTCCAGTGAGGAGAACAAGGTCCTATAACACAAAGGTCAAGCATCAAAGAGAGCTAAAGCTCTATGGCTCAAGGGTGCGACAGTAGTGTCTCACCCGAGCTTTGAAGCCACAACCAGGAACCTAACCACTGCTCCACACCGCCACTTGAACGATTACATGTGGTTAAAACTGTCAGGACAAATAGCCTTCCTATAATCATTCCTGAAGCACCGATGACTATACTTGACCACAGAACATGGCATTAAAAAAAAAAAAAGATGCTAGCCTAAAACCTAAGGATGAAATGAAATTCCTGAGAATGGCCACTTACTGCTACCCCCAATGTCAGAATATCCCCAGTCTTAAAATTTAGAGACATCTGGTAATTGATGTAAAAATGCAAGCTCTGGATAAGTAAGTTCTCACACAGGCCCTGCTGGAAGAGTGAAGACTTGGAATACTCGAAGTGTGCAGTACCTGTACAGAATGGTCTGTAGTTCTCTCCACCACACTGTGCCATTACACCAACCCCATAGGCGGCAGCTTGCCTGACCTCAGGGCTGCCGTCACACAGAGACTGCAACATGGGGCGCAGAAAGTACTCGGCGTATTTGAAGGAGGATGGGCTGCAGTGCTCAATCACATCATCAAATATGCACAGCCCCCACTGCCTGTCTGGCCATGGTCTGTGTGGACACTGCACAGAGAGGTAAAAACAGAACTGAGCCTGGTATCATGTAAGCCTATATTTTTTTATCACTCAAGACACAAGTTCTTTATATTGGGGTAGCTGTACTTTCATTTCCTATGCAACAAATGATATTATACATTATAGTCTACCACTTTAAAAGGTGCATTGTGGAAATTAAAAATAAATCAAAACCTGCCTCATCCAAGTTTCAATAGATGACTTCAGCACGTTTCTCAGAATACTCATATTGACCAACTTTACAGTTACATGCATTGTAAGGGAATAGCCCTCATTTTATTTGTGTCATCAGATTAAAATCTTAATCTTAATTTTCTAGAAGTCTGTGAAAAAACTGAGCTTGAAATACTCACAATAAGGTTGACTATGAGCTGTAACAGCTGTTCAAACCAGGGCAGCACTTTTTCTTTGTAGCTGCTGAAAATTGAGTGCAAAATATCCGAGACTTTCGTCAGTATGTAAACGTCGTTTTCATCCTAAAATCAGACCCCAAAAAACAGAATATCAATTACTCTTTAGTTTGGTTGCAGCGACATCCCATGGTGCATAATCAGTTTGCTTCACAGGCATGTAAGTAAAAGTCATCGTTCAGTGCTAAGAGATGACAGTCTCTGTGGTGGTGGTGAACTTTACATGACTGATGATTCCAAAGTACTTTATCTTAAAATCTGCACTGCCAATTGTCACTTTTTATTTTATCTGATGAGGAAGATTTTTTTTGCACAGTATGCAATTATTTTTACTGCAAACAAGTACATTCTAGAGAAAAGCTCCCTAAAACATTGGCGATAACAGACACAGGGAAGGTCATTCACCTCATCCTGTAATGTTTCCTCCACCTGTTCATCATAATCTTCATCCTGCCGTTTGGCTGAAGGAAAAAAAAAAGCTCATTAAAAAAGGAAAAATAATTTTCAAAATAACCAGCATTCTTATAGATCGCTGCCTCTCACCTTGTCTTAACTCCTGGTTTTTAAAGTGCTCCTCCAGTTTACCCTTCAGGATGCCACCCAGCTCCTCAAAATGCTCATTGTTTAGACACCCATCACCCATCAGTTCAATACACTGGAAGAGAGAGACCCTGGTCAGCAGTGTGAAACCTACACAAGCACAATGCACAACTCATGTCGTTTCAAAAGTCCTGAGAAGCTAAACAGCTTGCATTTAACGGACATTTCAGAGAAACAAATTTCTCCAACTTCTGTGTAAAATAAAAAAGCAAGCTGCTGGAAGAACAAATGGAAAATGGAATACACCCTGGACATCAGTCCATCACAGGGCACACAAACACTCATACCAGGGGCCAAATTTTCCCAGAAACCAATTCACCTACCAGTAGCAAACACAGGGAAAACATACAACCTCCACACCTGCCTCATCCAACTTGCAAGTCCACTTCAGAATCTCTCAAAATATAGCATCCCAGGAACTGAACCCAGGGTCCCAAGGCAAGAATGCTAACCGATACGCTGTGAACAAATCTCAACAGCAAAAAAAAAAAAGCCTTGACAATTACCTTTGCGAAAGAATGCATTATTTCTGACAGCACGTCAGAATCTGGCTCAGTGCCGATGGCCTTGATTAGGGCGTCGCACATGAAGTGCCACATCTGGGTCAGGTATTCGGGTCCTCGTACCCGGGCACACTCCAGCAGCAGAGGCATTGATTCTGCTGCTGCGACACGCACACGTACGACAGTCAAGGAATGTCCTCTTAAAAGTTATTTTTAAGTTCACCTTTCTTGACAGAATGGCCGTAAGAACAATCACAACTGACAGGGGGCCAATTCGCCTTGGTCCTCTAAAGCTACCCAATAGGTCAGGTTAAACAGGATAATGGAGAAGTAAAAAAAAAAATACAGATAAGAAGAATGCAGAAGCAGCACTGAATAGAATCACAGTTCTTGTATTGGCCAATGTTACTTTGAACCACTCGGTAACTTTTTTTCCACTTGGCACTTTTTCTTCCTTGTTCTGAAAGCGAGTCACCTTTCATAAAAGCATCAGCTAAATTATAACAATGCAAGCTCTTTGACAAAGGATATCGTCATGAAAATAGAATTTAAGCAGAGGAACCATGAGCTTCACAACTTGCTCTGTGTATTCAACAAATCCCTCCTTCAGTTCTTTGGCATAGCAAACCTAAAACAAGGAAATAAAAGCAAAGAAATTAGCAAACTGTACTGTTACTTGCTTGTCTTGAGGTAAGCCCTTAAGAACCCAGATAAAATTCAGACCTATGAATACAATCAAAAGCACTCCGATGAAAATTACAGTCCGTCCCCTTTGTTTAAACCTTTAGGACTGTTAAACAGTCAAGACTACTTTTCTACCAGAACACACCCATATAATTACCTCCCAAATCACCACTGTCTCTGCAATTCAGTTTTACATCACGTGCTATAACTATAATTTTCTACTTGCACCGATTGGCCCAAATGGGGTATAATGGAATAGTATGAACCACAGGCATATACAGAGCCCTTGAGCACTTGAGCACTTAAAAACGAAGTAGATCGGGGAGCAACATGGGAACGTGAGGAAAAGATTCAGGTAAGCTACTTCAGTGACCTACAGCCAGGGCTGCTCTTGTTTGCAGAGCAGTGGCATGACTCACCAACATTTGGCAGGCAGTGGCTTTCTCCTCCAGCCCGGCTGTCTTGATTCCAAAGCTCTGCTGATCTCCCAGGTTGACAAACTCCCACCCATCATCCTCACACATGTTCTCCATATCCTGGGCTGCAAGGAAGAAAGGAGATGACCATCTTAATGAAATAAGAATACCACACACCCTAACCTGACCCTCAAAACACTGGCTTTGCAATTGTTTCATGACGAACACACAGCCCCACATTTTAGATTTATTTTATACGCAATGGTCATCCATTTGCCACTGAAAGTAATAACACAGCTGATATTCCTACTACTTCAGTTTGTATAATTTAATTTGATGCAAGTGCTGTTGAACCGCATCTTTGTTTTTAAAAAAAAATGCCAAGAAAAAGTATACCGTGTACTAAAAAACTTACAACTGCAAAATTCACAATGCTGTTAACCAGAAAAAAATATTTTGTAGCAGGTATGGGTCTCTTCAACAAAATATCAGCAATCTAGGTAGTAGACGTCTCCCGAACTTCTGTCCCATTCCTGGACACATATGGCACCTGTTCACTGGTCTCCAAGCCCTAGATGCCACAGCTCAACCCTGCTCCTCAACGGGGCCCAAGCCTGGCTTCCATGTCATATTCTCATCTTGAAGGAAGCTATTATTACACAAGCAGTGTGACAACGTCCACTGTCAGAAAGGTATCAGGTAAGGTCCCATGACTCAATCAACAAGCAGTCAGGTTGCCATCAAATCACTAAGACCAGTGCTCTCGCCAAGAGAGAATTCTGTCCAGGTGATCCCATTGGACATCCCCTTTGATCTTGACAAGGTGTCATAACTCAGTCAGCCAGATCATGGTTTAATATTAATGGACTGCTGGCTGGGAACACCCCAATGCACGATTCTCATACAGCCTCAAACATATCAAGAGAATGAGACCCATTTATTATTGGTGTCGGAGACAAAGTGGTTCCTTTGTAGATTTTTATTCATTACACAACGCTTGACATTCAAGAGCTTGAATCACCTCAGCAGCTGTGTACAATGAACTCTCACTAATGAGACAATTTAGAACTTACAGTTGAATAACTCTGACTGTTACGTATCTTAGTCAGTCACACAAGATCAATTAATCAAAACAGCATTTAATCACATCCAAAATTCACACTTTTCCTAAAAACAAAAATGTCTAGAGTGAAATAGTTTAGTTTAATGATCAGTGTATTGCTATTACTTGAAAGTTTGCTATAGCAGCTGAAGACAGTTTTTGAGAAATGGAAGTTATGATCAGGTCCTGAATAAGATTAAAAACTTTTGATAAACACCTAAAAAGTATCCAAAATTTTAAAACTAATAATTTCTTAAGTAATTCCTTTATAAATTTAGACTTGAAAGTGAAACTGCTTTGTTATAAATGGAATAAAATGTTAATGGAGGTGAATACCACTGTACTCACTGTCTAGAAGGGCAACCTCTGGCTTAATGGAAGCAGTCTTCATGAGGGGCCCCATTACAACAGGGAGGTACTGCTGGAATTCTTTGCCGAGGATCTTGCACATTCTTGCCCAAGCAGAGATCATGTAAGATATCTAATATGAACAGGGGTTCAGAAAATTATCTTCTAGAAAAGGACTTTGTTTATATGAATACATCCCATAAGCGACAATTCAGTCTTCACTATCCTACCGTATTAAAAGCAAACCCCATTGTCACCAATGGTGTACTGTACAGAGGTAATCCACTTATATGCTATATACAAGACATCCATTACCAGAAGTCAGCTTATTCCTAGTAACAGTGGCAGTAACCCAGAGCACGTTCCAAAATTTCACTGAACAGGATCCCCATCTGTCACAGGGCACACACACACACACAGGGACAGATCAAAGACATCCTTGAAACTAGCAAGCCTGCCTACTCAAGGCGCAAGGAAAGCAGAGCACAAGAGAAACCCCATGGGGAGAACATGCAAACTGCACAGTAGGTAACCCAGTCAGGAACCCAAGAGAACCATTAACATACTAACAAGTCTTATAGCCAAATGTATGACTAGTTTGACAGGATGCATGGTAAGAATTTTAATGTGCCTTATAACATTTTCACAAGAAATCATACCAGCAGGACTCCAAGGGAAAGGCTTAGATGTGCACACTGAATGCACGAGGAAACAGGAGTTCTGTATGATGCTTGCCCAGCACTTACTGGTCCTATCTTGTTGCCAGGGCTACCCTGGCAATTAAAGCAAGCACAGCAGTTCTCACATTCAAGGCCTGAGTGACAAGCAGGGTGCTGAACTGAGAATTTGACTGAAGGCGACAAAGAAAAGCGAAGGAGGAGAGTGTTGCTCATGTTTTCTACTCAGTGAGCTATGTAAAATGGAGAAAGAAATTGGAATAAACTACAGAACCGCACATAATGGCTTGTGACCTGCAACAATGGTCATGACCCCTCAAGTAGTCACACCAGCCTCACCTGGGGATCATCATCATCCAAGTCATTGAAGTCAGTCTGAGTCTTTAGGAGCAGCTGCATCACATCTGAGGCATCTGGCATGAACTACACACAATAAATCAGAAATCAAACCTTCACCCAAGCGCGCTAAGAAAAAAAACGTTGAATAGCTGCCCATTTTAAAAACAAAGATCAATAAGCTTTTCCGATAAAGGTAGCAAAGATAAAAACTTTCAGCATGTAAGAGGAACATTGCAGTTTTAGCAAATGTGATAATCTATCAGAAACAAATGTAGCTTTTAAAGCTTAGCTGGTCTGTTCAAATAAATAGAGTGTAATAATTGGACAGGCATGAAAATGGGAAGAACACTTCACCATGCATAAAGACAGGACTTGGCACAGAAATGAAGCTGCAGCACACCCCAGCTAAAACTACAATCATGCCCATACGTCATGTGTCTGTGCAAGTTTTGCCCCATGACCCCATCTGTTGTGGGGATAAAACTTATTCTACACGACATGGGCTCGACAACAGGTCTGAATAAGCCATCTAAACGGGAGCGTGCTCCACTAGGCGTTTCACTCTGAAGATGTGCTTCTCTCTCTGGCCTACCTTGTCCTTCCCCACAGCGAGCCCGATCAGGCTGATGCACTCGATGGTCTTCCCTCGGAGGAGCCGCAGCTCCTTCTGCACTGCGTTCTCCACAATGTGCTTCAGGGATGGCATGAAGAGGTCGTAAAAGGGCACGAACTTCTCCTCCGTGGTGTCCGCCACAGATGCGATAGAGGTAACCACCTGCTCCAGCACCAGCTTGGTGCCCTTCTGGATCAACTGAAACGATGAGGAGACCATTCAAACTATCCCACTAACGTTTCTAACAAAAACCCCAATTATTTAGACAATAGTGACGCATGCAAACCTTTCAATACAGCAACACTATCTGCAGACTAAATCTTTTTTTGGTGCTTTTGAACTAGCGACCTATTTTCAAGCATCCTGTAAACCGATCTTGTCTCTCTTAAGCCCAGGAAACTAATCCAAGTTGGACCTGGACAGTTCTGGGATTGGAGACTTCAGAAGAAAGATCTAAAGTTGCTTATGGTGGTGCAACTCTTCCCTCTGTACAGGAATTTGCAAAGCAAAGTCCACCGGGGTGACCAGGGATACTGAGCTAAAGGTGGTGCCAACCCTTGGATGAGGCATTAAACTGAAGCCCTGAATAACTAGTCAAAGGTGTTAACCTAGCACGTGTCCTACTTAAACTTGCCCCTCAACTTTAATTGTTGAGGCGATTTCTCACTTCTCGATGTTAAAAGCTGGACTGCGGGGCAGCTGGCACAGAATGCCTGTCACACACTAATCAAGTGGGTGCTGCACTTTACTGCCGGTTAAAATTGGTCTCCTTCTACATGTGTAAAGAACTTTTGAGATCCTTTGGGATGACTTTTAGTCTGACTTAATGGCCACAGCTGTTACAGTACCAAAGGCTGAAATATTTAATTCCACATACTTCCTGCAGTTTAGTCACCATAATGGTGTGCAGATGCTGGACGAGGTTTTCCAGGTAGGGGATGAGCAGGGCTTTGGGGCAGTCCTCTGTGAAGTTTATCAATGCAGCTGCAGCATGGGCCTGAACACGGGGATTGCTCTGGTCTTCCATAGTCTGCAGCAGTGCAGAGATGACCTTAACACAAAAGGGTAAGGCACCGTCAGCAAGGCTTCATGCCAGCACCACACGGGTCATTTTCTTGGAGCACTCTGGCCAGCCTCCCAAAGACAGTACCTTGTCATGGAACTTCTTCTGGAAGGTGGGGGCGAAGTCTGTGGCCATCTGACCAATCGCATTGCAAGCGGCATACCTCACTCTGGGATGCTGAAATACAGGCCGAAAAATACATCCCATTGCAGTTAGCAAAATCCAGTAGGATGATAAATCGGTCTGGGATAATTCAACTTGTTTAACTTTACTACTTATAACGTAAAATCCAAATGTCTTCGTAAATCACAATTACAAAAAAAAGAACATAAATAAGGTTAGAAAGAAGTAAAGGCCTTCAGGCCCATTTTGCTAATTTGGTAATTTGTTAGCTAAGAATCTTAAGTTTCTTGATGGATGACCCTTGCACCGGGTTTTTGTTCCAGCTGAACTCTCAGTTATACAATCAAACCCTTCATTCATTTAATAATGTTAATCTGAAAAGTTTGTTCCCAGCTCTGAAACATGCTGAAGCTTTAACCATTTTATTTTGTAAGTGAAATCCCAAGCCTGTGACCATAAATCAAATGCAAATATTCAATTGAAGCAACTTCTTAGATGAAGTAAGGCAGTTTTCTAATGAAGGTGGGATGGAATGAAAACCAGCAGGTATGTGGGTCACTAGGATTAGGACTGGGACCCACTGCGTTACAGACACCCACAATGCTTTGTGCAAAAGAACTGTTTCCTAGATTCTGTCTAAAATGATTTCTTTTAGGTTCCAAGGTCCCTAATTTCACTACCGAGAGCTATTAAGACTTTTACAAACCCATTTCAAATTTGCTCTCCTCTGTTCTAGACAATCAAGATTTAGCTCCTTTAACCCATCTGTATATGTCAATCCTGAGACTAACAATCTTGCAATCAAGCCTTCTTTGAACTGCTTCTACAGCTAGAATATCATGTTCTGGTTAACTAAAAATTAATGTTCTAAATGTCTTCCTAATCCCTTGTAAAGCTTGAGAATATCTTCCTTGGCTTTAAATTCCACACTTTTAATGCTGTAATCAACATCGTGTTGGAACATGATATTTGCTTTCTACAAGATAATGTGGAGAATTGACAAACATCTAGGTCCTTTAAGGTGCATCTTTCTGCAGCTCAGAAGCACCCATGCGATATTTAGTATATGTTTTAATGTTCTGTGTTGATCAATTTGCACTTATTGTTGAATTGAATTAACCCATCTCCACTCAACTCATGTTCTTGTAACTTTCTTGCTGCTGTTTCCCCTCTCCAGATATTCTTGTATCAAATGATAATTTAACTAGTTTGCCAACTGCATCATTAAAATAGAACAGGCTGTTGCTCTTCCAGATCTTCCACAGTTCACTGTGGTAAACCACTGCCTACAAGCTGTTTCTTGAAAATGACACCGTTTCATGTTAATCAGTTCTCAATCCATGTGCATGTAATACTTCCAATTCCTCTAGTTTGTAACACTTATGAGGAACCTTATGAAAAGCTTCCCTGAAGTATGTTTCTCAGTTTTGCTCTCACTATGATTTCCATAACTTTACTAATAACAAAAGTAACACTAATTCACACAGTAACACTGAACAAACATTCAGTTTGTCTCCCTTTGTATCAACAGATATTACACTTTCAAGCCTCCAAACCTAGGTACTGCTACTGACTAGGAGTCAAAATGTCCTAGCTAAGTGTCTATAAACAACATCCCTCATCTCCTTAAGCACTCCTGGGAAAAATACAACAGGCCCTGGTCATAGTTTTTAACTACTTCTGAGTTTGTAAGGGAGGCGAGATAAACTACAGTTATGCAATACTGATGGAGCAGCTTATTCAAAGACACTTACAGGATCCTGGCAGAAAAGCAAGACAAAGCTGACTATTTCATTCAGGATTGCTTCCATCTGCTGGTGGCAGCCTTCTCCAATAGCTGAGAGAGCCATCAGTCCAGCGTGACGGTACTTCCAATCGGCTGCACACAGGAGAAAGGGCCTTGTAAGGCTCAGGAAGAATTCAGCTCCCCTTTTCACACAGTTAAAAACTAAATTCAAACTTGTTTAATCCAAGTACAGATCATTTACCAGGTCACTTTAGATGCGCCAATATTCAAACTCTGGAAATTCTTCATTAACCTTGCACAGGAGAAAAGAAGGCTTTGTGCTATACAAAACCAAGTCCATCCTGTAAATTTGGGATGCGTCTCAACACTATACTGGAAGGCACTACAACCACATTCAATAAAAAAGTGAGCAAATGCCAATCAGCGACTGACTAATACATCAAAAAGATCAAACTGTCCCAAGCAGTAGAATTAAGTCTATTTCATTTCATTAACTTAAGGCAAAGTGCTAAGGAAAGGTTTAATAGGATATGACTTAAATGGCTGTAAACTTAATTTTACAAAAAGTTGTTGGCTTTACCAATGAAAAGAAATGTACATTAGTATTTCACAACTCAAAGCTGCAATGTGGTCATAACAAGTTTACTTAAAGAAAACCTGTGGGCACAAAATCAAAATTTTCAAAAAACGACTGATTCAGATCATGAGTATGGTCTGCCCAAGGCTGTCCACAGACTTACGGTTTTGCAGCATCTGCATGATATGTTGTTTGATCATTGGCAGAACAACCTTCCCTCCCAAACCACAGGCTATTCTGTCCAGGGCACTCTCCCCAGCAACCGCATTGCTGTGCAAAAAGATCAATTAAAAAAAAACTAATTTCATAAAATAAATGTGCAACTCCTTCAGTCACAGTTTAAAATGTTTTGATTCCGATTCATAACCCTGCTGTGCTTTACTGCATACAACAGCATAGAAACTGTATAGTGCAGTGAGAATTACCAGTGCATTTTTTCCCAATCCAGTGCATTCCTTTAACTACTCAATGTTGCTCCCTCTGGCATGCTTTCTGGGTTATATTTGGATGTTTTTGTTTACATAAAGTCAGGAAAGCTGTAATAAGCATTAAATGTAACAGCAAGTTCACCAATGATTATAAATATTGTCAGTTACAGACATAACAATTCTGTACAATGAACTATTTTAAGTGCAGTGCTCAAGACTTGTGTATTGTATTTTTGTAGGATTCCAGGAGTATAATATGGTTAATATTACAAAAGTGTCGAAGGATCAAACTAGAATGATTATTTCTTTAAATACTGTGCTTGAATCTTCTCATTTAAGAATTGCAGTCCTCTCAATTAGGACAACTACAAAAACAAGGGTTCATTTTTTTTATATACACGTCAAATCTTGAGGGGGGCTCAACTTGCAAAGGCGTTTAGCCAAGGACAAGAAATCTGATCTCAGGTTCCAGTCTGGGTCATGTGACAGGGAATGCCCATGTAGTAGGGCATCATTAAGGACGGGGCCTGGAATTAGTTGGACAGGGTTCTCTCAGTGACCACTACTGCACTGTGGAAATGTACACTATACAAGTATAAGGATTATCTGCAGAAGATGCCAAATTACTAGTACATTTCTGATCACTTAGTGACCTATTGTGTTCTAAGTGGGGTAACCTGGCTTTGGTGCCTATTTTAACCCACCTGTCAAAATCATCATCCTCCAGCTCATCTGCCATGGCCCACTCCGCATCCTCGTCCAGATCCACCATCATTGCCAGCATCTGGGGAACTGAGCGTTTACAGCAGTTCGACATCATTCTGGAGCCAACACTGCAGTTTGCTTCACGTCACTGACTGCACTGCCATACCCTTACAAGGAAATCTTTTTAACGTGGCACGAGTTAAAAAGAAACGACACACTGCACATTTTTAGTAACCTTATTCTGGAGTGGTAAAAAAAAATCAAAAGATCAAATGCAATCACTTGCAAAAAGTGAAAGCAGCACATTGAAGAAATTTGAGATTTGCCTATTTAAGCTTCTACAGGATAAAGAGGGCAAATGCAAACCTCTTTTAGTCTTAAAAAAGGTGGAGCATGCAGGAGATGACCAGGCTGTAGTATTACAGCAGGAGGGCCCTCTCTTTAAGCAGCATTCATCTATGGTTATCCTCACATCTCCATCTTAAAGCCTTACATTTCAGGGCATGTACTGAACAAAGTAGCTCATCCTTTGATATACATAGCCTAGCTAAGGTTTAATATTATATCATCTGCGGGAAAGTTGATTTGTGCAAAATAACACAAAGGATCTGCGCCTGAGGCTGGAAGGTTGCCGGTTCAAATCCCGCTGCCGGCAGAGGAATCCTACTCCATTGGACCCCTGAGCATGGCCCTTAACCCCAACTGCTCCAGGGGTGCCGGGAAAATGGCTGACCCTGCGGTCTGACCCCAAGCTTCTCTCTCCCCGCCTGTGTCTCATGGAGAGCAAGCTGGAGTATGCGAAAAGAAATTCCTAAGGCAAGAAATTGTATATTTTGAAAAATGAAGTTGCCAAAGCCTTGAACATTACTTTATGAATGTCAAATGTAAAGCCGCAAATGGCCCTTTATTGTTGGTCCAACTAGACATTCTCAGAGAAGCCAGTGAAAATATTTAACAGACTCCCACATGACAGGTACTTACTGCTCTGCGACACTATGTTGCTGTGCTTCCTCAGCATCGCTGAAGCGGTCTCCGAGAGCGTGACTATGACTTCCAGAGCGAGCTGCCGCTGCATGTTTGTCAGATTGGTGTCTGCGCACAGCTGGGGAGAATTAAGAAATGTCAAACCTGAACCACACTGGGAACCTCATTTATTAGACCGTGACATCGGGTTTGCTCTATTTGCATCAGATCCTTTCTTAGATCACAGACTGGCATCATCTGTTTTGCACCCAACTTAAAAGCATCTTCACTCAAGCATACAGATACTTCTCAACCAGCCTGAGTGGCTGAGTCACAGCAGCACACAGTGAAGACGTCTGTGGGCTGTTTTTTTGGGCTTTAAAGAAACTCATTGCAAAAAGGATCACAAGCAGCTTCTCCCTAGATGAAAGCTATGCAGGATCTCGCAGGACACGCCCCCGAACACAAGCTGAGCTCTACAGTCACAGGTCTTACCCTGGTGCACATCACTAGCAGATTCTGACTTATTCCCCAGGCAGGGAAGCACAACTGGCTGAGCGACCT